GGTGTCCTTAGCCACTTAATTGACGTGATAGTCAAAATCAGGCCACGTGGCCGTTTTAGTCAAAACAGGGTCCATGACATAGTAAAACCACCTTAAGGCTTTGTACAATAGAAGGTGCTTAGGAGATGCTTAGTAAAATAACCCAAGTTCGTCTTAAACATCGGTGCTTTAAGCGTCTGTCCTATAGAAATAAACACCGGTGTTTAGAAAAAAACTGATTTATTTCTCTAAGCACCTATCCCAAGCATCTTGCATTGTACATGGCCTAAGTGTTACAAGGGACGAAACAAAATCCGGTTTAATTACTTTTTTTAGCATCAGTTTAATTAGTTGAGTGGCCGAGTTTTGAAGCTGAGAAATAATTTTTAAACTTTGACAAGAATTGAAAGACGAAAAATATACTTATCCCTTTCCTCTGCTAGGCTAAGGCTCGGTATGGCTCGCAGAGAACACAAAAATGCTGCAACGAGAGAGGACTGAGCGTAGGAACTTTTGCCCGTCACGGACAGCCCAGGTGTGCCGGAGATTTCCTTGAAGTCTCCAGCGATGGCGCCACCGGTCTCGCCTCGCGCACGCATGGCGCACCTACACGCACGGCTGCACGCCTGCACCCCATGCCAATGCCAGACTGATTCGCCCATGCAGATGCACAGGACTAGGTACCCAGCCGCCAAACGCTCCCCAACACCCGCGCTCGTCTCTTCAACTCGATCACTCCTCCCTGCCTAACACTAACTGATCACCGATCTCCAAAATAAATGACTCAACTTTGTACTAACTTTAATATGAAGTTGGGTCATCTATTTTGGAACGGAGGAGTACGTCCGATGCATGTGTTGGCGGCGGCCATGGGCGGCGCCGCCGCGGCCATCTGTTGCGTGGCGATGGCGGCATACCTGTACGTCCACAAGAGGAACAAGAAGAAGAGGAAGGGGGAACTCAACAACGCCGAGTGGCTGCCGGAGTACCGCTCTCCCGCCCCCCGCGGCGGCGGCAGGTCGTTCTCGCTGGCCGAGATCAAGGCGGCGACCCAGAACTTCAGCGAGGCGCAGGTGGTCGGCGCGGGCAGGCAGGGGAAGGTGTTCCGCGGCGTCGTGGACGGCGGCACCGCGGTGGCCATCAAACTGGCCGGCCCGTCGCCGGGCCGGAGCGCGCGCGAGCTCCGGGCGGAGATCGAGGCGCTGTCCGACCTGCGGCACCGGCACCTCGTCCCGCTCCTGGGCTTCTGCTCGGACAGGGAGGAGACCATCCTCGTGTACCGGTACATGCCGCGGGGCACGCTGCAGCAGCACCTGCGCGCCGAGCCGGCGATGCCGTGGTGGCGCCGCCTCGACGCGTGCATGGGCGCCGCGCGGGGCCTGCACTGCCTGCACGCCGGCGGCGTCGTCCACGGCGACGTCAAGGCCACCACCGTCCTCCTCGACGAGAACTGAGTCGCCAAGCTCTCGGACTTCGGCCTCTCCAACTCCAAGGACGCCACGATGAAGTCCGACGTCTGCTCCTTCGGCGTCGTGCTCTTCGAGGCGCTCATGGCGCGGCGCCCGGAGATGCTGACTGGGGACCAGGCCGTCGGCCTCGCCGAGCACGCGCTGGCATGCCACCGGAGCGGCACCCTGCCGGACGCCGTCGACGCGGCGATCAAGGACCAGGTCGCGCCGGAATGCCTTGAGAAGTTCGCTGAGACCGCCGTGGAGTGTCTCGCGCACCAAGGCACGGAGCGGCCGGCCATGGGCGACGTGCTATGGAACCTAGAGTTGTCGATGCAGCTGCAGCTGATTAATCCCAATAAGACGTAGCAACGAGCCATATTGGTGTACAGCAAAATCAAATTATTTTCCCACTAGCAGTAGCAGCACAGCCAGGTGCGCCCGCCATAGTTCATGCCCTAGAAGAGCTCTCAGATGAAAATGTAAATCATTGCAAATTGCAATGCGATGGTTCGGGTTTTTGAGTTAAAAGATGATGGATATGAAAGAGAGAAAAAAAAGATGTAGCAGCACAGCACATGAACTTATTTGAGCAATGGCATGAACTTTGTCAGCTCTAACTTATTTGAGCCACTTGAACTTGTCATAAAACAATCTGTCGGGTGCAATAACCATCCGGACAACAGCTACAAGCTCTGGATACCAAATGCATATCTACATTGGTAACCCTGGTCTTTGAGGAGATCTCGTCAGCAGGAACTGCTCAACACATGATGCAAAGCAAAGTGATCCTGAAGATATAAATCATATGTCACCCGTTTACGTTGCCATGAGCATGGGATTTCGTGGTGAGTCTTATGGGCACTTTTCTGATCTTGTGATGCTTGGTCTTCAGTGTGTCTCGACGGAGAAAGAAACCTACGGGTGCCAATGTCTGAGGAAATTTTGCGCGGAAGCAAGGCATAAAGTGTTTATCTATGCAAGAATAGGTCATTGAACCCGATAAGGCCCCTGAGAGAGAAAATGGGCAAATAGTGGAAGAGGACGTTTTGGCTCCCGGAAGCATTTCTGAAATTATTTATTTTGATGTTTTTGTTAGTGTCGCAAGCATGCTTGACAATTTTCATACGAAACAGAGCAATGGTGTTTCGTCAATGAAAAAACAAATTTGGGGTAACATTTGGTGTTCAAATTAATATATTTTTTGCATAGGCCAAAATGTTTAACCTTTTTTGCCTAAAACTTTGAAGGTAGCATTTGGATGTTAATACATAAAAATGTTGTTGAGATTTCTTTTGACATTACAAAATTCATTTTTCACGCATGAGGCAAATTGGATTTCCAGAAAAGAGTATCCTTTTGTTCTCCCCAAAAGAAGGCGATCAACTGTGAGAATTTAGGGAGAAACTCACTAGACGAAGCAGTGCTCCATTCGATTTCTATGTTGTCAGCGTGTGTTGAGGGGATAAGTTCTTCCATGCTTCTGGTGCGAAAGCAGAGGCCCTTTTCGATTTCTGTATCAACAGCGTGTCATGAGAGGATGTCATGCACGGAAATTTTATAGCTTTCGTGTGTGAACTCGTAACCCCATGTTCATATGTGACTGGCAAAGTGACAATGCACTTTTACATGAAAGAAAATAGCACAGGAGCTTGGTGATCAACTCGCTGATAACACAGAAAACCAACTGGTAGAGTGGAAAAGTGGGAGGTGGCCGTGAGCTGAATCATCATTGGATTTAGTTCATCTACACCACGTCCCTTGGCCCCTGCACCTCAACAAGCCTTCCTCAAAGGAGCCCCTTTTGCTTTCATCAAATCGTCTAATCTAAGTTTTACATCATATACACCAAGGAAAACAAAACAGTGTCGTGGCAAATGAAAGAATCGGTATATGAGGGTTCGTCAGTGCAAATCTCCCAGTCTCTGAACGAGCTGCTCATGCGCTGGTGACACCCGACATCCAGGGCACAACAACGGGGGCTCTCGGATGAGAATCTCTGTAAGACTCGGAATACTTGTCTTTGAAGTTCAGTTTAGGCTGGTCAGCCTGCAAAGCATCGCAAGATAATTAGCCCGTGTGAAGAAGAAGAATCAACAACTCATGTCATCTTAACAGAAAATCAAAGTTAACAATGTGGAGTACATCACTTTAGATCTAAATGAATGATTTGACTATAGAACAAAGCCTTGTGTGTAGGTCAACATTGGCAAAAAAAATACACCGGTAGTGCATATCGCAAGAGTATTTGCCTGGCCATGTAGCAAGAGCAGCAAGGCGAACCATACTCCAAACAATCAGATGGCCACAAACCAGACTTGTGCAAGCAACAGCAAGAAATTACAACCAGTATAACATGAGAGGACAAATGGCTGTTACCAGAACTGAAGTTTCAACAGCTTGTACATTGACAGTTGGTAAACATAAAGCAATCAGTATCAGCAACATGTAAAACGAGGAAAGGTGCAACCATACACCAGCACCATTTATGGCATGACATGTTTTGCTGTATATAGATTTATATTCTTTATATTTAGCCCATTAAGAATGTACCACAAACTTGTCCAATGCATCATCCTAAATCATTACTGAGACTAGTTAAAAAGTTCAACACAACAAAGGGAGCTTGGCTAAAAATAAAATAAAACGCACTTGAAAGTGTACAGGCTTCAGTCAGCTGCAGGAGCAGAGTTGACTACAATCTCAAGAATTATAGCGGATAACTAATGTTGCTGTTTAAACCATTAGAACAGGATTGTTGCATCACATGTAGAATAGTAACCCGTGTATAAGCATGATCCATATTTTGTTTTTGTTATTCAAATCACTAACGATCATTCATAAACACTGGTTTCCCTCCCCATTCCCGTACAGTAAGGACACACGTACACACATGACCTATGTTTTGTTTCCGCTATTAAAATGACTGACGACCATTCATAAACACCATTTTCTCCCCTAATTCTATAATAAAGTGCTCCTAACTAAACAGTAAACTCTACCATTTCACATATACAATATTCATTAAAATATCAGATGCAGGTCCATGAAGCAGGAAGAATCAGACAATTCTAACACCGCTCCGAACAAGATATGGTTAAAAATGCACATATAGGGCAATCGATTCAATGGTTAGACACAGACTCGCAAAAAGGCAGGCGTACCTGTTTCAACCAGCACTCCTGATGTTTATGCTCATATTTATCTGGTGAATAGCAACCAAACTCTGAAGGGCAATATACCCATATATTGCACTTTAATTCACCCGGCTTGGCATTCCTAGCCTGGTCTAGACATGCTTGACAACAATCAGCAGCAGATTCTTTGTGGTGCGTTAAGCCCCATCTCACAGCAGCGCCACCATAATCGGCATGTAGCTCAGTGTTGCATTGTGGATGCAAAGGTGGACCAGCTATTATTTCTTCTTCTGCAACAATTTATTTGAGACTCAATCTCTTTGAGAAATACGAAAGCTATTCTGTAACTATAATTCTAGCACAATGGGTCAGACTTTGGCACCACGGATGCATGGAGCTTCATGAAACATAATAAACATAGGCAATGGTAGAGAAGCAACCTTCTGGTTCATTCTCAGGTTTGTCATCATGCTCGGTGTGTGGGATTTCTGGTGAAATCCAAAGACCAATATCCTCCAACAGCGCATGCCAGTTGAACTCCAGGGCTCGCTTTAACAATCCTGTAGATAAGGGTGAAACCAAACTATTACAGTTGAGAATTGTGAAACAGAAGAAAAACAAAAACCTTTAGAAGCGCCCAATATGTACCAAATTATTATGAAGGAATTTGAACACATAGAAGTGAGTATATATTGTTTAACAGTAAAACTCACATGTACCAAATTATTATGAAGGAATCTGAACACATAGAAGTGAGTATATATTGTTTAACAGTAAAGCTCACATACGTGCTTCCTCACTGGAGAGGCCCAAATTTGATGAATTCTGAGTAGATGCACTTTTTGCTTCTTTTAGAGTCTCAACACGCCATGATTCCAGAGCTTCTGTCATATGTTTGGGAATAGAAACATAAGCACTTCAATTTATCACTAATCAAGACAACAAATAATCCATGAACTGTATCTCTAACCGATGTAAAATAAATCCAGATTTTATATGCCGCAAAAGCAAGTAACAAACAGTAAAAACATGAATTCACTTTTAGTGTTAATTTATAACGTTGCACAGAACATAAATGGAACAAAATAATGGCAACTCCAGATAGCTGATACCATCAAGGAGACAGACACACACAAATAGAATATACCCTTTTTTCTCCCAAACAGGTCAACCAATATGCAGCACTTGCTCATCAAATTATCACAGCTGGCATCAGTGCTAGGTTGATACACCAATTGGCCAGTCACACACACATAAGTAAAATATATGACAAGTCGACTAAAAAGAGGGAATCGTCTCATGTGGTTGTCATATGTTCAGTTGTTTCAGTCACGAGGGTTGCTTTTCCTGATCATGGATAGAATGTCTCAAACTTGTACTCCCTCAGTTCCTAAATACAAGTCTTTGTAGAGATTCCACTATGGGCTACATACAGAGCAAAATGAGTGAATCTACACTCTAAAATGCATCTATATACATGCGTATGTGGTCCATAGCGAAATCTCTACAAAGACTTATATTTAGGAACGGAGGGAGTAGTATTCAAATCCTGCAACATTACGCCTATCTAAGACTATAACAGTGAAAAAAAAATCTACTACAGAAGTTCACGCTTGCAAGAAAGCACTTAGCAATGCAACAAATATCTGACAAACTAGTCGAAATAAATAGTACTATTAGATATCCTCCAGACAAGCTATTCAGCCCTCTCTGGACTGAACACGTCAAACGGCATGCTGGCAGAAAATAGCCGGTGTGTGTCAGGCTGTCGACCAATAACAAGACAAGATAAACATACAAGTCCAAGTTATGCACACATATATGGAATATTACAGTTCAAATTACTGGAGGAAAGCAGGAGCTCACTTCATTCTACACAAAACAGTAGCAGTACACTACAATTACTAATTCGAAACTAGATATGCAGATATACCTCGTTGCTGGATGGCACTGCCGTTATCCCCTAGGCCGTTCAGCCGCCCCACAAGCTCATACGATACCCTCAGCTTCAGCTCGAGAGGCAGCTCCTTCCGCCTCTTCTCCTCCCGTGCGAAAACCTTGCGCAGCTTCTTCACCTTTGGCACCCAAAATACTTGGGGATTAGATCGTAAAGCCATAATAACAAGTTTTACTAATCAACTAGACAAAACCATCGAATTCTGCAATTCAAGAGCGGTACCGCCTGGACGAGCTCGACGGGCTCGGCCTCGCGGCGAATCCGGATCGACTCCTCCACCCTCCTAATCTGCTCCTCCGTGTACTGCACCACCTCAACCCCTAACAAAACAAATCGAAAAAATAGCACAGAGTCAGATCGCGGATACTGCCAGTCGTCGCGGGCACGACGAGGGGGCGGGAGACTGGGCGCCCTCACGTTTGGGCGCGGGGGCGAAGGAGGTGAGGGAGCGGAGCACGAGCAGCGCGGCGACGAGGTTGGCGAGGCAGACGGCCACGGTGATGCGCCGGTACGAGAACCACCCCGCCGCAGTCGCGCGGCCGCCGAACGACGCCGCCCGCGCTATGCCCCTCGCCATGCCGCCGCCGTCTCCGCTGCCGCCATCCCTACCGCCGACGGCGCGGCATTGCGCTCCGCCGCCGCCGCCCCCGATTCGCGAGCTCCCCGCCTGCTCGATCTCGCCCGCGGCCGCAGGAGCGCGCGCCGCGCGGGCCGCCACGCCGCGCTACAGCCCCGAGCCCCGGCGCTCGGGTGCTACAGCGCTGGAAGCTTCTGGAATCCCGGCCGGGCAGGAGCCTCTCTCCGCGTTCGCTTGGGCCTTCACGTTGCCGCAAATGGAAGTTGGGGAGCAACTTGAGGGGGGGTTGGGGGTGGAGAGATGGCATGGATAGTGGAGGCGTGAAGGTGGTAGTGCGGGATTTTCCTCCTCTCTGGCGCGCGGGCCCCGGCACGTGACAGCGCCGCTGGGCCCAGTTCGCAGTGACAGAACTGCCGACAACGCGTAGGCTAGGGTAAAAAAGTCGAGCGGTTGTGGCAGATTTGTTGTGTGGTCGGTGAGATCACAGCGGATCGATGGGGCTACGTGGAGGATTGCCATTGGGCGCCGTAATTCTTCCAGCTTTTAGCAGAACACGCATAATATGGCAAGAATGCCAGAATGGTTTGCTCTGATTGCAAGCAACTCTGATTCTAATCACAGACAGAATAGAGCAATTACAGACAGAACAGAGCAGAACAAATAGCAAAACAGTTGCTATAAATACATATTTGTCCTTTTTTTTTACGCCACGTATGTATAATGTGATGAAATTTTGCACATACATAGTACACATGTGTATGTATGTCTGTAAAAAAAATCAAAAAAATTCAGTGTGTAGAAAATGATGTTTCGAAACCGAGCTCCATGGAGCTCAGCCTCCATTGGTCATTAGCGTTAATGTCCGGACCTTCATAGAAATACATAGCACACATCCTCCCATCCCCCCATCCCCCCCTCTTGTTCCGGAGAGCGACAGCAGAAAAGTTTTGATTGATGAAGCAGCATCAGGCTGATAATCAATCGCGGAGAAGTATCAATAAAGCAAAAGCAGATCTTCATTTCTTTCTGCCAACAAATGCGGCAAGACATGGCTTTCATCAGCCCCAGAACCAACCAACTCAATCAGAATCCAGGCAGTCAATCAGAATTCAGGCCTACTCGCAACAACCAAGGGGGCTGATCTGATCTGCAAGCTCACCCTATAATCCCAACAACAATGCAAAACTTTGTATATAATCTATGCATCAACCTACTGACGTATCGAGATAGATAAAAAAGTGTAGTTTTGCACTTGGAGTTTGATTGGACCATGTGTAGTTAGAAAAAAAATGCAGGTACTGTCCCAGCCACCCAGCCTTTCACTCATTGACCTCTTTGTTCTCCGGCTGGGCTTAACACTGTGTCAGTATTTCCACGCCGTCTTCGGTGATCAGTAGCGTGTGCTCAAACTGCGCTGACAGGCTCCCGTCCTCCGTCACCGCGGTCCAGTCGTCGGACCATATGGTAGAGTTTGTGCTCCCTATGGTTAGCATCGGCTCTGAATTGACACACGAATAGGCAGGCGAATCTGTTAGTGTTTCATATATGCTTCTTATGAAGGCTAGTGATCCTTATAAGTTATACGAGTACACTTGACTGAAGCTATGTCTACAAGGAACACAGTTCCGATTTATGAAGTATAATCAAAGCTAATGTGTGCCAATCTTATCTATCTCAATCTAACAAGCATGCAGACTCTTTAATCCCTAGATGATTATTGAAATAAGGAGACACTATGTGCGCAGACTGTAGCGACAGTGGAAAAATGTACCTATGGTAAATGTTTGGTTCAAAATCATGCGGCCCTTTTCATTATTGCCTGTAAATTCAAGAGACGTCAGTCCAGGGCAGCACATATATTCCATATCTATACTGAAGTAGAGCAAATCCAATGGTTTCTCATGTTGAACTCACGGAAATGAAGCACTGCAGGCTCAGCATGGAACACTTTCCCTACCCCATGGCCCACAAATTGTTGAACTACACCATATTTGAATTTGTCTGCATGATCCCTTGAAAGTTTGAAATCTTCAGTAAGGTGGTGCGTTTGAAGAAATGACGACCATATCCAGTAAGCACAAAATATAATAATTACAAGTCTATAGAAGGAATAAAAGTTTGATTTAATTATGTCCAACAAACTCAACCAGCATTCAGTCTACCTCTGTCGGTGTATCACTGTATAGGGTACGGGCACAAAATATCCAAATTCTAAGCCAAGTTCAGTGCAACACAAGCTAACATGGTGAGGAAAGTACGCTTACGCCCAGTTCTTTTGGGCTGCAGCTTGTGCAGAAACAGCTTCTCCAGAGTTGCCCAGAGAAACTGCGGTGGGAATAAGCTCTAGAGGAACCAAAATAGTTTGTTTCAGGACACAATTAATTATCGCTTTTGAAAAACAAGCAACCATTCTTATTCCACTGTAATCGAAGTCCAAGAAAATGGGTACTATCAAGTTATGTGCTAGATGCAAAGGAACCAAACAGCACCAATTTCTAACTTTTGCCGCAAAAGGTTTCTGAAATATAGAATCCTTGGTTACAAAATCAACATATTGCGGAAGAGTAACGAGAAAAGTACAAATGTGCAAGCCTCCCATTTACTTACTGTATGGTTCTACCAATGCGGTTGATCTCCACACCTGGAGCACAGATTGAAATAGCCTTGTCAAGAGATTCTTTTGTTACCTGGTTGGGGAAAAGAACATTCCATAAAACTTTGAACGAAATAATGCATAGCAAAGAACCTTTAGCTTCTCTAATAAAAACTTATGTGATATTATTGCATCTGACTGAAAATAAAGTGACTTAGTATGTTTACATCTCTAAAATGCAAACGAATTATGTCCAGATTGCATTTGTACTTATTCCCCATTGTATAGCTATATACAACTGCTTAAAGAGGACCACCTGTGGAAGTACAAGCATATCGCTAATGCCAGCAAACAGCTGAAGTTCCTGCCTTCAATAGACTAATGCATATTTAGAGACAGAGTATATTAGACCAAATATTCTTACGAGAACTGAGATAACCTGAACTAACTTCTTAGCTTCATCATCAACATCACCACAGAGAAATGTAGCAGATGTATCACCATGGTAACCCTGGAGTCAAATATGCATAGACCACAAAAAAGGGAATGGGTCAATTTAGATACCAACTATAGCTTCAGCATTTATAAAAAAAATCCAAAATACTCCATATATATATAAACAGATGGAATTAAAGTAATATATCAACTGAATCTGCGCCCAACGTAGATTTTGCATTCTCTCATATAGAAAAAGGAATTTTGGGTGTTTATTCACAACAAGCAAGAAACCACTAGAACAAAATATCCTCTAGAAAATGATAAAAAAGGATATCTACCACAAATAAGCACTTCAGTTTCTTTCTTTACTTGTACTTTGTCTGTGAGGGAAGCACAGCGACTAAACAATAGTCAGTTCAGGAGATGTATAGAGGGCTTACATTGAGATAGACAGTCACATCGATGTTGATGATATCGCCATCCTGCCCAAAAAAGGATTAACTGTAAATTGATTGGTATGTATTGAAAGTCATCATCTCCAGATGCTGGATGGCTTACCTCAAGTGGACGAGAATCTGGTATTCCGTGACAGATGCATTCATTCACTGAAGTGCAAACACTCTTCGGAAATCCACAATAACCAAGAGGTGACGGGTATGCACCGTTATCTATTATCATTTGGTGCACCGCTTTATCTATCTCATCAGTTGTGATGCCTGGCTGTAAATAAGAACCGATCAATTTCTGACACTGATCTATGGGCTAAGTTTCAGAAATGCAGTGCTTTATGAGAAGGGACTTCTACTTCCCAAACTACCTAAAAGGTGTCTAAAATGTGTCCTGCACCTTAACCTTTACCAGAGGATCCATTTGCTCGGTGTGCTCTTTTCTCTTAACAAAGTATTGGATGAATGGAATGAGATTTCCATTGTGAATGTAATGTTCCACAACTAAAATAATAATCAGGTACCGATGCCAATAATAACATTACATTTACAAGTGTTCCAGCAAACTTCAAAACTTGTGCGGCAAGCTTTCCAGAAGCTCTCATGCATTCAATCCCTTTTTCATCATGTATTTCAGGTCCATCATTCATCTGAGGTCTTTGACGGGAATTGACATAAGGAGGCCGCTGTATATGACTGGGGACGGTTAGACGAGGAGACACTTTCCCAGGTCGTAGGCGTCTAGGGTTATTTTCCAGTGAGTCATCCCGACTTCTGTGGAAGTCCAAAAAAAAACGTAAATGTGAATCTACATGTATGCTCCATACAACAGTAAATGTATCAGAGATCTACAAACAATGGACACAATTTAAAGGCAGAGGCCAATTCAACAGTATTCTCCACACACTATAAGCCAATTCAACAGTATTCTCCACACACTATAAGTAATATATGTAACAGGCCCAGCATAAAGTATGCCTTGATTTTCACCATACAAACATATATGAGCAGCACAGAGTATACAGTACAGACAGGCACAATCCATATTTCATAAGATCAGTAAACTCAAGGAACTTTGTACCCGTTTATCTAACGATACTTCAAATACTGTTTATCTAACTCTGGTACAAGCATTATCTCACTTCTTTGCATTCTATCTTGTTGAAATGAAAGCATTATCTCACTCCTTAGCATTCTGTCTCCTACTACTGTTGACAACAGTAGTACTCCCTCCGTCCCATAATGTAAGACATTTTTTGGCACTACTAGTGCCAAAAAAACGTCTTACATTATGGGACGGAGGGAGTAGTTCCCTGTCGGACCTTGTGTTCGAAATGACTTCGTGAACCATGTAGTTCACCCTCTTGAGTTTTTGTTGCAAGGGCACATTATGTGCAACTTTTTATGATGATCAACATGCATGATGCATCTCAAAACATCTCCGTGAGTATGATGATATGACCAATTTTGATGGTTCCATGGATTGGCACAAGCCGCACGACATCCCTGATCGGTACTCACACATACGGAACAGTACATGTAAGGAGGCACCTACGCGGCTATGCGCCAGGTGCCTGAAAAAACTTTGTAAGGAGGCACATATGAACCAGGTGCCTGAAAAAACTTTACTTCCGGTCGAATTTTTAGGTTCCCCCGCCGCCCCAACCCGAACAAGTCAAGGTCTCTTCCTCCGCTCCGTCTCGGCAAGCCCCATCGTCCCACCTCCAACGAGGTCCTGACAAGCCCTCGCCGGCGACCCTGGCTTGAGCGTGGGCACTTTCTAATCTCTCTCCCTCTCAGGGGGGGCACCCCTGGCCGGCCGCAACGGCCTCCGGCTCGAGCTTGTTGCTGCACAGCTGTCTTTCACCCAAAATCGACTGATCTGATTCTTCTTTTAAGTTGCCTGATGAATAGCAACTGCGTATATGTAAATGTTGTATTGAACCTTCCAAACCTTAACGAAACTAGCAATGCATGGTAGTGGGGAAAAGGGAGCCCCTGGAATCAACAAGCAACAAACATATCTGCCTATGTGGTCAATGCACCAAGTTGTGGGTTTGCGTAGCCATGTACTGAATAAAGGCAATCAGTAAACTGGCATTTCAGCTTCAGCTTCAGTTTAGAGCGGTTGGTATAAAAGATGGGAAATACATGTGTTCCTCCAAGATGGCCAGAATCAGGCCATCATGTATCACTACAAAGGTGTGTTTATCTTAACCCTACGCATACCAGGTTGCAAATGACCACTCTATCTGCCCAAAAAGAACAGGATCGCAGTCGCAGGCTCGCGGCTAATCTAGTGTTGTCGTCACTATCCAACAGGCAGGGCAGGGAATGGCGACCGGGGAGCTCACCTCCTGTTGAAGAGGGCGTCCACCAGGCTGGAGAGCGTTCTCGTGGCCTGGCACGTCACCCTCGCGTTCCCTGCAAGAGGAGACCCGAGCCATCTTCTCAGCGAATGTTTCCCCCGGAGGAGCTGACGCGGCAAGTGTTTGAGCCGAAGCGCGAAGGGGGGAGGGGCGCCTACCTCTGCCTGGGGCGGCGGTGCGGAGGAGCGGCCTGGCGGAGAGCGCGCCGAGGCGGTCGCCGAGGAGGGCGCAGAGCAGGCGCGGCGACGGCGGGCTCGCCATGGGCACTGCCCCGCACGCGCGAGCGGGATATGGGAGCGGAGGAAAGCGAGAGCTGTGGTCGAGACGGATCCGGTCCAGACTTGGATCATAGATCCGGTAAACCGTCGTCTCGTAAATTTTGTTTACCGTAACGAACCGGCTGAATAAATCTCGTAAACATCGCCGGAGTTCTTACTTAATTTGAAACTACTAGTTCACGTCATGTTAAACATCATCAGAGTTGCACAATATAGTTCCGTACATACCACGTCACTTGCTAGATATTTCCACTGTAGTTAAATATACGATTAAACTTGAATCTCGAAAAACGGTGGACGTGTTACATTGTGGACTGAAGGAAGTAGTTCAAACTTAAACTTAAACTAGATTAGATTTAAAATTTAAACATAAACTAGACTAGATGCATCACCGGAGTTTTACTCATCTTCATCCTCGCCATCATCGGAGAGCCGGACTTGTCGTGCCGAGGTGGTGCTTCATGAGGGAGTTGCAGAGCACGTACGCGAGGGCGTACTCCTCTCGAAGCGTCGGCACCCATACCGCCGCAACTTCATCCTCGGCAGCGGGCGCCTCCTTCGCCTCGAACCAGGCATGCTCGACCGCTCGGTGGCGCTGCAGCGCCGGATCGAAGATGTGGTGGAAACAGTTAAAGTTCGTCCACGCCTGTGCGCCCGCACTGCAGGCCCGCGCATCGTGGCAGCGCGCCTGCTCCTTTCCTACACTGAAGGTGAAAATGCAATTATCCCTGGGTGGTTTTGGTAATTCCTAACAACATATAGCTCATTGAGCTAATGCTATTTTAAGATAAATATTTCAGTAAAGCTCAATGATTGGCATGGCATGGATTAGAAGGTGGACCCCTCAAAATGCTAAGGACAAAACATTGGCTCAAACTCAAAGCACAAGACTCTATATTTTATTTTTAGTGATACAAAATCACATTGAGTCCATTGGAAAAGCCAATACTATTAAAAGGGGTGAGGTGTTGCTTAATGAGTTACTTGCTCAAAATGCTTAGTGATATGCTTCAAAAACCCTCAACTACTTTCTCATATCCACATATGTCCCAAACCAAAAATCAAACTCGGCCCCAGCGAAATCTTCTATCCGGCGCCACCGAGTTCACTTGACATAGCCACTGCCACAAACCCTAGTTACTTCGGTCTCACCGATAGGGATCTCGGTCTCACCGAGATGGGATTGCAACCTCTCTGTTTCCCTTCGTAACGTTTTGGTCCAACCGAGATGAGCGATCGGTCCCACCGAGATTGTAATGCAAACTCTCTGTTTTCCCTTTGTAACGTTTCGGTCTAGCCGAGATGAGCGAATCGGTCCCACCGAGTTTGCCTGACCAATTCTCTGTTTGTCTATTACCAAAATCGGTCCCACCGAGTTTGTGTAATCGGTCTCGAAGATTACGTTATGCCCTAACCCTAATGGAATCGGTCCCACCGAGTTGACATGTCGGTCCCACCGAAAATCCTAACGTTCACATTTTGAACTAAATCGGTCTGACCGAGTTTTATAATTCGGTCCCACCGAGTTTGGTGATTTGTGTGTAACAGTTAGATTTTGTGTGGAGGCTATATATACCCCTCCACCCGCTCTTCATTCATGGAGAGAGCCATCAGAATATGCCTACACTTCCAATATATATTTTCTGAGAGAGAACCACCTACACTTGTGTTGAGGTCAAGATATTTCATTCCAACCACATAAATCTTGATCTTTAACCTTTCCCAAGTTGTTTTCCACTCAAATCATCTTTCTACCAAATCCAATCCTATATGAGAGTTGAGTGTTGGGGAAACTATTATTTAAAGCACACGAGCAAGGAGTTCATCATCAACACACCATCTATTACCGTTTGGAGAGTGGTGTCTCCTAGATTGATTAGGTGTCACTTAGGAGCCTCCGTCAAGATTGTGGAGTTGAATCAAGGAGTTTGTACGGGCAAGGAGATCGCCTACTTCGTGAAGATCTACCCTAGTAAGGCAAGTCCTTCGTGGGCGTTGGCCATGGTGGGATAGACAAGGTTGCTTCATCGTGGACCCTTCATGGGTGGAGCCCTCCGTGGACTCGCGCAACCGTTACCCTTCGTGGGTTGAAGTCTCCATCAACGTGGATGTACGATAGCACCACCTATCGGAACCACGCCAAAAATCTCTGTGTCTACATTGCGTTTGCTCCCTCCAAACTCCTCCCTTTACCTTCATATGCAATTGTTTTACATTCCGCTGCTATACTCTTAGAATTGCATGTGTAGGTTGATTACTTGAATTGTGCTAAGTTGCTAAAATCTTTCAAGACTTAAAATTGGAAAAAGGCTAGATTTTTATTTGGTCAAGTAGTCTAATCACCCTCCCCCCTCTAGACATACTTTCGATCCTACAAGTGGTATCAAAGCTTTGGTCTCCATTTGCCTTGATTTCCATAGCTTTTGGTGATCATAGCCTTGGTTTCACAACCTAGGAGAGTATGGTGTCTAGTGAGGTAAATTACCACCGTAGAGGTCCTTACTTTGATGGTACTAATTTTGCTAGTTGCAAGCATAAGATGAAAATGCATATTCTTGGACATAACCCCGCTGTTTGGGCTATTGTGTGTATTGGCTTGCAAGGTGAATTCTTTGATGGGAGAGAACCGAAACGTGAAGCTACCGCAGAATAATTGAAGATGCTGCAATACAATGCTCAAGCTTGTGATATTCTCTTCAGCGGATTGTGCCCCGAAGAATTCAACAGAATCAGCCATCTTGAGAATGCAAAGGAAATTTGAGATACTTTGATTGATATGCACGAAGGTACCGACTCCGTCAAGGAATCCAAATTGGATGTACTTCAAAGTCAACTTGACAAGTTCAAAATGAAGGATGGTGAAGGTGTCGCTGAAATGTATTCTAGGCTTGCTCTCATCACAAATGAGATTGCCAGCTTAGGAAGTGAAGAGATGATCGATAGATTCATCATCAAGAAGATCCTAAGAGCCTTGGATGGAAAATATAATATCGTGTGCACATT